CACACACACACACACACAAATATATAAATATACACGCTCACACACACACACACACACACACATGAGCATTGGAGTTTCCACATTTATGACGTATCTTTTGATTATGCTATTCCTTTCAGTTTTGCTGAGCCCTACTTCTACTTCACATTTAGCTCCTTTTTTGGCTGCTTGGTCAGCTTTTTCATTGCCTATTACACCTCTGTGTGCTGGTACCCATGCAATGGTGACTTGGCATCCTTTATTCTTTAGTTGGGTTGTTAGGTTTAAGGTCGTTTCTTTAATATCTGGTCTACTAATATTTTTTAACGTCTGCGCTGAGGACAACGAATCTGTCAGTTTGGTAAATTTTTGACAGCACATTTTTTACCATCTCTAGTGCCTTCATTATGCCGACTAGTTCTGCTGTGCACACTGCCACATGATCTGTTATTTTATATTCTCTTTGCATTTCCCATTGAGGGATAATTCCTCCTGCTCCCACTTCTCCTAGTTCGTTCTTAGACCCATCAGTATATGCAACTAGGCTGTCTGATCGGATCTGGTCTATGTAGTCTTCTCTTATTGTTTTGGCTTCTAACATTTCAGTATTTTTATTAATACTTTTCATCAGACTCATGTCTGTCGTAGGCAGTTCTAGTCTCCATGGAGGGATTTGAGGGATAAACCTAACACTCGCCTCTAGAGTCCTAGCTAAGTCCTCATTATCGTTAATTTCTAGTGCAGCGTCCCAGGCTGTTGGTCCCAGTAAATCTCTGATCGGTTTGTCACCTAGGTGGGTAATATTATGATGAAAAGCATCTGAGGCTGGGTGTCTGGCATCATTGGCCGCTTTCATCCGATAGCGGTTAACTGCTACAATCTGGCTAAGCGGTGTTATGCCTAGGGCTACCTCCATGGCCTCTCTCGATGTTCCTTTGCCAGCGCCCATGATGGAAGTCAGAGCTTGGCACTGAATCCTATCAAGTTTGCATTTGCTGTTCTCCGATGCTGATTCGCATACTACGCTTCCATATCCCATTTTGCCTCTAACGAATGCTTTTTAAAATTGTATTAGGGTGTCCTGGTGCGCTCGCCATCCGTTTCATTTAATCAATTTCATTATATTATTGTACTTTTTTGCACTTTACTACTAGTTCATCGATGTGCTTAGCCCAGGTCATTTGCTAATCTAGTATCATTCCTAGGAATTTCATCGAACGTGTCCGTTGAACTGTTCTACCAATAATTTGGATTCTCGTTTCTTTAGGGTCATAATTAAGCTGTCTTTCAAAGTTAAACATCATGCTTTCTGTTTTGTCGATGTTTATTTTAAATCCTCATTTTCCTATGCAATTTGCCACTTCATTTAGGCTTTTCTGTAGTCTTTTCTTAGCGCAGGGTATCTCATTATGGTTGTGGTAACTTGCAAACTGCGTTAGTCTTATTTCCTTGTTCGTAATGACCTCGTCAAGGTCATTTACCAATATACTGAAGAGGGTAGTGGATTTTACCACACCCTGTGGAATTCTATTCACTTGATCGTACGTTTGCGATCTTTCATAATTTACTTGTACTGAAAATGTTCTATCTTGCAAGAGGCTTCAAATATATTTATAGGTTTTCCTGTGAATCCTAATGTAGCTGCTTTAAATAAGGCTGCTGGTCGATAGCACTGATCGTACGCCTGTTCCAGATCCAGGAACACTGCCATTGTCTTACCTCCTGTTCTGAATGACTTTTTAACATGGTCCTCTAATTTTAAAATTTGGTCGAGGGTGCATCTGTTAGATCTGAACCCTGCCTGAGTCTTGCTAAACAGGTTATTCTTTTCCATATGGAATGTTTTTCTTTTATTGACGACTGTTTCTAATATTTTTCCGAGGTGGGATGTTAGTGATATTGGTCTATATGAGTCTACTTTTGGGGGGTCCTTATTAGCTTTTTTAATAGGTATGACGGGTGCTTCCTTTGATCTTCTTGGAATCTCTCCCTCTTTCCAGATCTCATTGTAGAAATCAGTAATCTGTTTAATCGTTTTTGCTGGTAGAGCAATAGCCCGAATCTCTATTTCCTGGAATTGGATTAATCCTTGTCATCGATCCATCACTGAGTACTGTTAGCTGATTATCTTCACACACACACACACACACACACACACACACACATAAAAAAAAAATTTATATAGTTCTTGCCCGGTTATACTTTCTATTCTACAACCCCATTGAAGTTGTAAACATTTAAAGTTGCCTACGATTATTGTGTTAGTGGTTTTCCTGTTTTCTATTTCTTTAAGGTCGGTCTCCTCTATCTCCCTAGTATTTTATGTGTCTAGTTTGGCCTAGTTTGGGTTTAACTGACTGATGTCTTTAGCATATTATTTATCTAATTAGACAGTAACAAAACAACATTTAAAATATGTGAACATATGGGCGGGGGTAAGGGTGGTTGCGCTGGAGCAAGGCATGAGACTTGGGGTGCTGTTGCTGGGGCAAGGGCGGGTGTGGTGTGGAATACGCCGGGGCGGGGCATAGGGTTGGGGAGGCTGGGGCTGAGGGTAAGGGTGGGCGGGGTGTGGGATGCGCTGGTGGGGAGCATGGTTCTGAGGAGGCTGGTGCTGAGGGTAAATGCGGGCGTGGTCATGGAGTAGGTAAGTTCGGTTGGGGCGTGGGCCACAGGAGTAGGGTAAGGGAGTGGAGGGTCGGTGAGGGTGTGGCCCACTGATGTCAGGTAGTTTAGAGGCAGGTCTTACAGGTGGCCTGTAAGTTTCATTCCTGGGTCGGAAGGGTACAACTGGAGGTGGTCTGTGATGTTTGGGTACATTGGGTCTAAAGAAGGGGAGCGTTGGAAGATCTGTTGATGCCGGTACCCCCCTTCTACTTCCTTGTAGTCCCTGCACCGTCAGTATTTCGTCCTTGCTGGCTGGACTGACTCATCCTCTTGTCAAAGTTAATCTTAAATGATAAGAGTTCCAGAACTTCCTTCCTCTTATAAAGATCTGCTTTATGAATATGCGTTGCTTTAGTTTCTTTGTCTATTTTGGGTCCTCTCCTTTCTGAGCCTCTCCAGTCTGTTCCGTCAGTCTCCTTATTTCGTTCCTCTATGTTTCTAGCTCTCTCTCTCTCTTCTCAGATTGTCCATTTCCTTTCCTATCCTAGCACGTTCCTCAGTAAGGTCTTGCACTGCTTTCACCAGTCTGTTTCTTTCTAGTGCGACGCTACCCAGGATCACATAGTAACCTGCTTTCTCCTCTAGCATTTTGTCGATCTCCGCGAAGTGCATACATGCCGGGATAGGCATACAGGGATGGTCGAAGGGTGGTCGGTATGCAGATCGGCCTCAAACTGTGGGCTTGTTGCATAGGCATCCAGGGGGGCACTGAGGTGGGAGGGGAGCTAGACCAGCAGGGTGGGGAGTTGAAGAGGGGGGGGGGTGGGTGCCCGTAGGGTGGGGATTGGCAGAGGGGGTGGGTGCTACAGCAGGGTGGGGAGTGGCAGAGGGGGGGGGGGTGATTGCCCGTAGGGTGGGGAGTGGCGGAGGGAGGTGGGGTGGCCGCCAAATCAGTGTCAGACCCAGGAGGGGGAGGGTGCTGCAGAAAGGGCGGGAGTGTGAGACTGTGTGGGTTCGGGGTTCGAGAGCCGTGCTTCTTCTGTCAGGGTTAGATTGGGTGGACTGCTGACCTCTTCGTTGCTAAGTCCTGCTGCTCCTTGGTCTAATTCCTTATCCTCTAGTCCCTCATTGACAGGTCCACAGCTGCTGTCCACCATCCTGATTGGTCCATTTCCTGTGATGGCCTTAGTTGTATTGTAACAAAAGTATCGAGGAATTCCGAAATATATAGGGTCGGGCATGAGCAAGAGGAGACGATAGGTTTACCAGGGTTGCCACCCCGTATTTACGTCATCACTTTGGAAATATTGCACGCACAAGCTGTGAAAGCAAGGCTGTCGAATGTAAAGTTGAAACCACTAATTGGAAGTGTACTGAATACAAGAGTGATGTAACTGTAGATTCAAAAGTACCATTTGACGTGACTGGTCAAATGCGCGTCTGTTTCAGTTTTGAAGTATAGAGTTTCTATGCAGATAACTGGAAGGAGATTTCTTTTTCATGTCCTTTCACGCAGTTATACATTCCAGTTTATTTGATGCTCAATCTTTTGTGATTTGGTTCAGTTTAGAAATATGTTTTTTTTTTTTTAATTGCTGTTTGTTTTAAATTGCTGTTTGTTTTAAATTGCTGTTTGAGTACAAGTTTCTAATATGTGCGTACATTAAATTACGAATGTCAGCCCAGATAATGATCAAAATGATAAAGACAATACTCCTAAGACAAACAAGTTTGCAGCTACTTACTAAAGAAAATTATCATTAAAGCTGCTCACAGATCAAAAATATTCTTTATTATTTGTCACCAGTCAATACAATTCCAGTAAAGGCCGTGACGTAATTTGTATTGGACAAAGAATTTCAATTCTAAACAAATATAAAGCAAGCCAGTTATATATTTACATATATATATATATATATATATATATATATATATATATATATATATATATATATATATATATATATATATATATATATCTGTGTGTATGTTAATCTGAAAGTCATTTCCACTGTGTGTGTTTTTTAAATGTTTTGGTCCTGTGTTTAAAAAAAAAAAATTAATTAAAAAAAAACAAAACATTTAAAAAGACAATTGTGTACACTGGTTCTATTCCAAAACAAAGTTTCGGGAGCCCTGTTTGGAAGTTGCCAGACAACAGCCTGGCCAAATAAGTCCGTGTTTCTTAGTAGAGGCAATGTGAGATTACTGTGGGGGGGGGGGGGGGGGGGGGGAAGGGAGAGAGGAGTACGAGGTAAGGATAATCTCTACAGAGTGCGTCACCTGAGCTTTCCTGACTAGTGTGCAGATCCAAGAGGACATGCCACGTTTATAACTAAACTACTCGTGTTCTAGTACTTGCCAGTTTGACAACCACAGTGTTCTTACCTGAGTCGGAACTAAGGCCAGCAACCATGGCGAGAAACTGGGATATTGGTTTCAACAAGGTAAGAGGGTATTCGTTTTTCATCATCATCACAACCCCACTACTATCTTCACTAACACCATCATCATCATCATCATCTCTATCACCATAATCACCAATAAAATCATAATTACTATCAGTTCAGCATCAAAAACCATACTACAGAAGTTAGTTAAGGTGCAGAATCGAGCAATAGAGTCATAACAAGCAGAATGAAGATAAACTAAGATAATAATACAAGCAGAAAAGTTTCTTAGCATGCCTCAACACCCTATGACAGCAGGATTCCAAATGGTGCGACTGAAAAGAAGCGGTTTCATTCACCAGGCCCAACGACTCTGCAGTCAATCCACTAACCTGCCTGCCACTGATAACCTATTAAATGCTAATCCAGATCGGATACCTTGGAGAGAGAATTATACGTTGTCAATACACATTCAAGCAGAAGTGAATGGAGTATTCGACAAGGAAGAACAACAAACTGTGCAAACGCAAAACAGCCACCATCGCTCTACTTGATGATGAATACCCACATAATCTTTGGGTTCCTGTCTACACGGATGGGCAGCACAAACCGCAGGCAGAAATGGAGGAGTAGGAGCCAAATACAGCCACAATACCAACAGGAGTACACTGTCACAACTATGATGCAGAAGTTCAAGCCATGAAGATAGCAGCAGAGGAACTCCTAAATACTGAGTATATTTCACAACCAGTGGTATTCCTGACAGATGCAAGAGCGGTACTTCAGGCACTCTAATCTGGAGAATTATCTGCTATACGGAAAATACTCTCCAGACTAAGTAACTAATGTAAGGTAACTATGCAAAGGATACCATCCCACTTTGGAGTTCCCGAAAATGAAAGAGCTGATAAACTATCTAAGGAAGGTGCAAAAAAATAACAACCTGACGTAACAGTCTCTTATCAACAAAAGAAGAGAATGATAACCAAAACCGACAAAAGACGATTACCACCAGTGGACAGACCAGAGCAATTCTTTATTCAACGCCTTAGACAAATGTACACACAATTTGATGTTAGCGAATCAGCCAAGCGTACATGTGGATTGGCACCTGAGACAACAAATCTCGTTCTCCAAGACTGTCCAAAATACAAGATATCAAGACAAAACTTGTGGCCAATGGAAACAACCTTGCAAGCCAAACTTTAAGGGTCTCTGAATGAATTTCAACAGACAGTAAAGTTTATACCAGAGACAACATTTCAGGTGCAAATAATTTATTTCAAGCGAACGAACTAAAGAGGACGAAGATAATTACCATCATAGCTGTCGTTACCATAATCATATTCTTGGAGCGTGGTCTTTTGCATAGGAGTCAAAACCGAGTAAACTGAAAGGCAGCGCTCAGCATCTTAAGCCCTCAGTAATGTTAAGGGAGCAGAGCCATTCCCTCTTCTCAACGTGTTTAGAAGTTTTCTGTGTTAACATTTTAAATACATTTCATATGATTTCAAACACATTATTGCATCTATTCGCCATCAGCACACAATCGTAATAATAGTGAAATTAGTTTTTTATTATTATTCTTGCGCATTTAAAAAAGTCCCAGTTCACCCTCGCTTCTTAGAAATGTATACAGAGGCTAGGGTCACTTCCTCGAGGGTTATCTTCATGCCAGTGAGCCTGGTCTTTTGTTTTCAACCTTTACTACCAAAGTTATTACAAATTTCCCACTTTTGCCATTGAAGCCGTGTGGAGGAATCTATTGCTTGATATGTAGCGATTACGATTGTTTCAATAAGTAAGTCACAAATGGTTGTTACAAAAAAAAAAAAAAAAAAAAAAAAAAAATTATTTAAAGACGATTAAAAACTTGAAAACCGTTTATTGTTACACATACACTGTTACTTTATTTTTCAACATAATAACCACCAACATTGATGCACTTGTCCCATCGTTTTATCATTCCTCACAAACCTGCTGCACAGAACCACATGCTCTGTTTTATAAACCACATTTCCACTTTCCATTCAACTACTGCGTCATTCGCGACATGTCTCCCGTCAAGGTGGGTTTTCAGTGGACCAAAAATTTCAGTCGAACAATCATTATGTTGTATGCTGAACTATGTGAGCACCCTATTGCAGCTGCTTCACGAATGCTTCTGTTGCAATCACTTCATCAACAATTTTAGAGTGTCCCTAAAAAAATATTTTCAACCTAGCTTTGCACCGCCTTACGGGACAAACATTTGTCAGCATAAATAGGAAGCATTTTCTTTTGAATGTCCATAGCTGGCAGCCCTTTTGCCCCCCCCCCCCCCTCTTTCACCCCCTCCCCTAAAAAAAACCCACAACTGAACGTTGTTCTTTGATAGTACACTCCATAAGTACAGTCGCCATTTTGTTTCTGTGTTGCGAATGAAAACGTCACCAGTTCCTTCATTTTGTCCTTGCATGTGTAGTCCTGTTGACGTTTTCAATGGAGACCAATCCGACACCATTGACCTAACTAACATGATATTTCTGGCATTTTCCAGCCTGCCCTATTCGCCCATGTTACAGTTCAATGCCTCTTTAATGAGTTATAAGTTGGATTATTTTCACAGTACTTCAGACACATCCACAGGTGCTCAGATCCCCGTTCAGCATATTCATCAGCGTCAAGCGTTTAGTAGTGTCAGTCCTATGCTGGCTGACAAGACCTCTTATGCGTCCGGTGTGCTTCTCATGCTACGCTGTGTCCAATCTCTACTTTCAAATCTCGTCTTCTTAGAAGTGATGTGGACACGTTGCTTCCAAATCTCGTAACGACCTATCTCTCTAGGGGCATTGACAATATCTGTGTAATCCGTAGAAAAACCAACTGCAACTAATGCGGACCTTGCCAATTTATCAGCTCTTGCACTGTCAACAACATCTGCACGCCTTGGGACAAATATAAAGGTAGCAGCACACACAGGAGAGTTTTGCAATAACTCAGTCCACTATCTGCTTCGACTCGCCAGATCTTGCGCAAAGAAACACCCAGCACACAACACACAAACGGGGAAACTCCATTGATTCTAGCCACATGAAAGCTTGTGTCACCGCCATCAACTACATGGTTATACTGCATCTAGTCATGGAGAAGGCACCACTGGCTTTCTGGGCTGTTCTGCTTTCAGAGCGAGCTGTAAACACACATGAACTCTTATGTCCTCGTATAACGGACCCGTCTGTGTAGATCAACACGTTTGTCTCATCTGACTTGTCACCAATAAACGCGCAGACCTAGGCGTTGACAGGAACGGGGTTCTGCTCATGACAACTCCAAGCGTGACGACACAAGAGAAGGTTAGATTGAGCGTTTTAGGCATTGGTATATATCCCTCACCAGGGCGGATGTCAGTAAGACTGCAGACCTGCTTGATGTCATCCTCTGCCCTACCCAGCCATGATATGCCCCTTTTTAATCTGTTGTCTGTTTCCCTGAATAGCATGTGATGCAAAAGGTGCTTCAGATCGGAACTTATCTTTAGGTAGGCGGTAGCCCACCAAATATGTGTATGAATGTTTGTGCTTGCTGTCAAAATTTCCGTCTAAACAAGAACTAAACAAAAAAAAAAAAAAAAAAATGAGGAAAACAAACATGTGGATATAAAGAACTGATTGCTTATTTTACATTATGTACAACAGTGAGAAGAAGACAACGTTCTTTAAGTCGTGTAATGAGAAAAGAAAGAAATTATCATGACGACGGGAAAGATCACTGTGAGAAGAGTTAGAGGCAGACCAAGAGAAGCTATGATGGATGGACAAATGGCAAGGAGGAATATCATCAGTGGAAATGATCCAGAATACCAGAGACCGCGATCTGTGGCCACGCATGAACGCTTACGCCAGATGGCAAGGCACTTGATGATGGTGATATAACGTACTGAACTGGCCGAAGAGAATCGTCACGAGAGTATTTGCATACGGCTAATGGATACATTGACATCCCCAAACAGTGTGCCAGTTGGTCTATAAACATATGCGTTTGACATCATATGCCCACAGCGTCACTGGTAAAAAAAAAGTTTCCCTACTTTTTCCTTGAATAATAAATATTCAAGCGTTTAAAATTTGAGTTGCTTCTTATAGTATCTAACGTCTTGAAGTCCTTCAAATTCTGTAAATTTTGACTTTAAAAATCAGTTCTGATCATCACTCGACATTGGTAAATTTAACTCAGATAAAGAATAACATTATGGTGAATTATGGTTTCCATGTATCGGTCTTTGATAAAACTAGCAATCAGAACACTTGGGTTTGTGAAACAATAACTGGAATTAGTTTTCACTTGAAAAAATGCTGTGTATCTTATTACAATTAGGAATGCGTGGCGTGAAGATCTTCCCCTGGTCTGTTGTTTAATTAACAAGACATATTTGGCATTATCTTCATACCGCATCTAAAGCACTTGTTCCGTGTCTTTCTAACTCGAAGCCATTGTTATCGTGAAAACAGTATTTGCTATTTTTTGTAGTAATTCAATCTGCTTTTGTTAAGGCAATCTTTGCGGATAAATGCCTGATTACAACAGACGTTTTCAATGATTGGTAAAATGGTGTCGCATAGCAAAGTATAAGAGAGGATTTAATACCAAGAAAATAACAGAGAAAACGCCCTAACTAGATCCGGCCATGAATGTTACTAAATATAGAAACCATAAGGTTAGTTGCGTATCCTTTACATGACGTTGCAGAACCAACCCCAGCAGCCCCTGGCTGTTGCGTGGTTTTTCTAGGCAATTTTACGTCCAGTAGTTTGCCATTGCTTGCTGGACGGTCGACTTTCTTGATACCACTGTCGAGACCAACACAGGGCTTATGGCCTGCAGCTGGGATCGAACCCGGCACTCAGGCATTACGAAGCGTTTGCATCGACTTAGTCACAGAGCCGACATAGAAACCATAAATACTTTTAAAATAAATACAGGAGTCTGTGGGAGCTTAAGCTTCTAACACTAAGATACCGATATCCTGAGCCTAAGCTACGGACGCCGCAGATCGGAAACATATCATAAATTAACTG